TGATGGCCTGCTCCGGGTGGTCCCCACAGAGCAGGGGTCAGTAGTTCTGTGCGGCGCATGCGCACCAGCAGAACTGCGAGATGCTTTCCTTGGTTGTCCCCAAAGTAATTGGGTTGGATATCTATTTCAGTATTTAGAAAAGTGGCTACGTAGGGGGAAGAGTAGCTACATAGGGATATCTTCTGGATATCCACGGGAATATAAATACAGAAATTGTTATCAAATAATGTTCTCAGAAGATGGAGGGTTTTTTTTTCATTTTATATAGATATCATCTTTTTGTTTGTTTTGTTTTGTTTTTGAGATGGGCGTTTTTGCCACGTTGCCCAGGTTGGCCTCTAACTCGCAGTCTTCCTGTCTTAGCATCCTGAGAAGTAGAGATTACAGGAACATGCCACTTATGTCTAAGACTTAATTTTTTCAAAAGCAGTTTTAGGTTTGCAGCAAAACTGAGAGGAAGGAACAGAGATAGTCGCTGTATTCTTCACCCCCATCAATCTTGGTGCTGTATGTTTTATGGATTTAAACAAAAGCACACTGACATGTCACCACCATTATAATTCATAGTGTTTTCATTGCCCTAAATATGCTGTGTTTTTTCTATTTACCCATCCCTCATCCTCCCTCTTATATCTGACAGACATCAATCTTTTTACTGCCCCCATAGTTTTGCCTGTTCCAGAATGTCATATGCAGACCTTTAAGATTTCACTTAATACCATACTATTAGTATTAAGGATACTGTATCATTTCTTGGCTTGATAATTCTGTGTATTCTGTGTATTTCTCTTTTAGTGTCGAAGACAATCCATTGTCTGGATGTACTTGTTTATCTACACACATGCTGAATGATGTCTGAGTTGCTTTAAAGTCTTGGTATTTATGAAGTAAGCTGCTATAGATATGCACATATAGAATTTAGTGCAGATAGCAAGTTTTCAAATTCACAGTTGCCGGACTGAGTAGTAAGAAGCCACCAACTGTCCTCCCATGTGGCTGTCCCATTTTATACCCCACCAGCAGTGACCAACAGTTCCTGTTGCTCTGTATCTTCCCAGCCCAGTGCTCAGGATTCCAGCTGTCCTGGAAGGTATGCACTGCTATCTTACTGTTATTTTAATTTGTACTTCACTGATGAGGTATGATGTGTAGAGTCTTTTCATATGCTTATATAACTTCACAAGGCATCGAAGAGGTTTGATCCATCTTTTTTAAAAAATTGAGTTATTGTTGAATTTTAACAGCTGTTCGTGTATTTTAGATAATAGTGTTTTGCTGGGCATCTTTTATGTATATTTTTCTCAAGTCTGTGATTTGCTTTTCATTTCTTAACAGTGTCTTTTCCAATAGTCCACAATTTTAATTTCAGTGAAGTCATGGTCATCAGTTTTTTCTTTCATAGATTGTGCCTTTGGTGTTATAATTAAAAAGTCAGAGTTAAACCCTAGCTCACCTAGATTTCTTCCTATGTTATCTTCTAAAGTTTTACGGTATTGCTGCTTTTTACATTAGGTTTGCAATACATTTTAAATCAATTTTTGTGGAGAGTGTAAGGTTTTTATCTATATTCATTTTTTTTATGTGGCTATCCAATTTCCATACCATTTGTTGGAAGACTATCTCTTCCCTATTATATTGTGTTTGCACCTTTGTCAAACTGCCTATGTGGGTCCTGTTCCATCAGTCTATTTGTCTACTCTCTTGCTGTATAATCACTGAATTGATTATTATCACTTTATAGTAAGTCTTAACTTCAGAGAGAGTTAATTCTCTAATTTTTCCTTCTTCAAGACTATATTGGCTATTCTGAGTTTTGTTTGTTTGCCTCACAATATAAACTTCAGAGTCAGTTTGTCAACATCTGTGAAATAAATTTCTGAGATTTTCACTGAGATTTTGCTGAATCCTCTTAGTAGTAGATCAAGATGGATCAGGCAGAAAAGAACTCATATTTAAATCTTCCTGTCCATGAACATCTAATATGTCTCCATTTTTTTAGTTATTCTTTTGATTTTTTTTTAAAATCAGGGCTTTGTGATTTTCCTTCTACAGATCTTGTACATATTTTATTAGATTTATACCTAACTATTACATTTTTATAAATAGTACTTTTTAATTGTAAGTTGTACTTGTTCACACCTAGCACAGTGGATGACTTTGTATATTAATTTAAATCCTGCAATATTACTATAACTGTTCATTAGTTCCAGGAGGCTTTGTCATTTCTTCTTGATTTTCTACATAGATGATCACATCATCTGCATTTTCCTTTCTAATCAGTGTACCTTTTATTTCTTTTTCTTGTCTTAGTGCATTAGCTAGGATGCCCAGTATGATGCTAAAAAAGGATTCCTGGTTGTAATGAGAAAAATTCTAGTTTCTTACCATTAAGTGTGATGTTAACTGCAGTATCTTGGTAGATATTCTTTATCAAAATGAGGCAGTTCCCCTGAATTCCTAGTTTATGATAGTTTATCATGAATGAGTATTGGATTTTTCAAAATGTTTCTTCTGCAGCTATTGATATGATGGTGATTTTTATTCTTTAGTGTGTTAACTTGATGGATTAAACTAATTTTCAAATGTTCAACCTAACATAACCAGGATAAATCCCACATGGTTATGGTACACACAAACACATGGAATTGCATTCAATTTGCTAATATTTTATTGAAGGTTTTTGCCTCTATGATCATGAGATACTGTTCTGTAGTTTTCTTATAATGTTTTTGTCTTTGTCTTTGATATTGGGATGATGCTGGCCTAATGAGTTAGAGTTGTCTCTGCTTCCATATTCTGGAAGAAATTTTGAGAAACTGATATAATTAATCCTTAACTGGTAGAATTCACCAGTAAACTCATCTTGGCCTACTGCTTTCACTTTTGGAAAGTTGTTAATTATTATTTCAATTTCTTTGACAGAGATGACCCTATAAAATTGTATTTTTTTTATTGTGTAAGTTTCTTTCATGAAATTGGTCCATTTTACCTAGGTTATCAAACTTATGGGTGTGGAGTTGTTCATAGTATTCCATTATCTGTTTAATGTCTGTGGGCTATGGCTGTGGTTTAATATTCTTGGAAGAAGTGGTTTTTGTCTGATATTTACTTCAAGAATCTGTTGAATCCTCTGAAGATGAAACAAAAGTATGGCGACCACTCTATGCTCAGGCTCCCTGGAGTTGTGGACTTTCAGATATTTCCATCCCCAGGCTATGGTGATTTGTCAACTCCAGGTCAGATGTTCCTGCCACAGTGTGGGTGCCCAAGCAGATTTAAGCTGAAGTGTGAGTCTCTGTGTCTTCCCACCTGGGAACATTAGCATTTCCTGTGACCCTGCTTTTCATACAGATCTAAGAAGAGTTGATGGTTGTTCAGTTTGTTAGCTTTTTTACACGCTCCTTACTTGTGGACCCCAAAACTGGAAAACAATTTCTTTCATTAAAAACATGAGATCTGGGCCAGGGATTTAGCTTAGTGGTTTTGCTACCTGCCTCATAAGTACAAGGTCCCGAGTTTGATCCCTGGTACCAGAGAGAGAGGGAGAAAGAGAGGGAGGGGAGCTGACCGGACTTTTATCTTCAGGTCTGATTCTCCAGAAACTATTTTAAGGTTATATTCTCTAGATTGAAAAGATAAAAGAAAGAGAATAATTTTTTAGAAATTATTTACTCATCTCTCAGAATTTATAAAGTTTCCTTTAGACTTCCAGAGATTTTAGTAGAGAATGACTTTTTTTTTTCTTTTTTCTTTTTTTGAGTACTGGAGATCAAACTCTAGTCCTTGTGCTTGTGAGGCAGGCAGTGGAACCACTGAAATAAATCCCAGGCCCAAGTATGACTTTCGAAGGACAGAATTTCATCATCTGTTTTCTTCTAGCGTCCAAAGGCATTTTGAAGTTCTTTTGTACTGATCCTAGATAAGTAGAGCTGCTATAAATTAATCCTTTGTCACCCAACGTGGGTGGTGAAACCTATGTCTGAAAATGCATGTTACTATAATCTAGAGGGACTGGAAAATATCTGTTGAGATACTATAATTAACTAGCTGTCACACACAGCTTGAAGGTCAGTCAGTTTCAAGCAAAAGTAAAGCCCAGGACCTGAACCAGCCACTACTTTACATGACAACCAGGGAGAAAAGCCATCCTCCAGGTTCTGCTTGTGGAATGCATTATTCTTTGTTTCCTGCTGTTTGTAGATCATTGATTAAAAAAAAAATCTATGAATGACAAGTCTCAACCTTAAATAATAGTAGTCTGTGGGGGGAAACAACTTCTCTTTTAAGTCACTTTAAATAAAAAGAAGAATCTATTTCCCTTTTCTAACAGGATGGTTTTGATGCTTTATTTAGAGCAAAACATTATATCAATTCTCCACAAATAGTAAGATCTTCAAAAGATCATAAAATAAGGCAAGTAGATGTATAGCAAGTCTGTGAAATAAGTTTTTTTATAACTCACTATTTCTTAATAAACAACCGTTAAATTTAAAGCACTCCTGGGAGCGACACATCCTCGAAGTGGTGAGATTAATAATACTCCTGTTACCAAAGGGATTTTAAAATCCTAATTTGAAAAAGAAGTTCTACCTTGAAGCAACTTTATTTAGAATACTAAATATACTATATTTATTTACTAGCAAGGATAGCATTCATTTTTTTAAAAAAGAAGGCCCAGTAAATGATAGCCTTGACCATTTGTTATCAATACTTTAAGTTTTTAATCCGAATTAAACTTAAAGATTCTATGCTTTCAATAAAATATAAACCCTAAATTATATAAACTAAGGAAATTTGTTGAATTCTGGTTTTGAGAACCCAGCTGTCTCATTAAAACACACAAATCAGACTACTGAAAGGGGAATTGGATAATGTTTGGCTAAAGTGACATAATGATCCAAGAATTCCTGTCATGGAATCCAAAGCTTCATTAATAATTAACTACAAGAAGTTAGTTAAAAAGAATGCATTTTACAATTCACTATACATCAAATATGTACCTTAGACAACTCCATGCCTGGTCCGCATGGTTTACAGAGAATGCAATTCCCAGACCCATCTCTGAATTCTTGTTGTCTGCAGTCTCCAGTTTCACAAATCACTTTACATGACTGGAAAAAAAAAAGTTTCACCAACTATTATCTTAAAGTACTTTCACGTTATTGTTTGCAAGAAAGGCATAATCATATTCAGTGTTAGGCACATAATCACCAATTTAAATATCAACTCAGAATTAGGGTGATTAAATTTTCACCACAAGAGGAAAAAAAACTTTCTGAATGAATCAGTGGAACAAACAGATCAATAGGCCTAATTCTTCTCTGTATTCAGAGACTGCTCATCCATTCCACAAGTAGAGTCTCCCTTTTTCCTGAAGTTAAACACATCTTCCTTTGAGACACTTCTGCATACTCAGGGCAAAAGTGACCTTGTTGCTGTCATCTTTTCTAAGATGGTTTACAAAAGAATACTCCTGCAGAAACCCAAGTTCCCTTTGCTACCTGAAAAATTCTGAATTAACAAAAGGAAACAAAACACAAAAGACTTTTTGATCTTGAAGAAGAAATATCAACATATTTAAATATAATAAATTGAATAACTAAATTGATATAATAGATTCATACAGCTTCAAGAATTTCCAATTACCCTTTAGATGTAAAAATCTAAATAATATTGATGGAGATTTTCAACCTTTTTCACTGCACTACGTCTAGTTTGAAGTTATCTTTCAAAAAATATTATTTGATAATCATACCAATGAAACTCTTTTTGGTGGTGGTGTACCAGGGATCAAACTTGGGACCTTGCACTTATGAGGCAGGCGGTAGCACCACTGAGCTAAATCCCTAGCCCTCAGTGAAACTCTTGATGATGGCAGAGGTACTGGTGATGGCAGTGGTGACAGTGGTAAGGATGATAATCATGATCAAAGTCCCCAAAACTCTTCAAAGCGAAAGTGTTATGTAAATATGAACTTACACCTTTAACTGATGACCACCCGGCTATTTCCTGGGACCTAGAAATACTGTTTGGCTCATAGTGTAGAACTTAGAAAAATTATACTTTGACAAAAAAGATGTTTGTTATGTCATTTTCCAAAATAAGTTTTATTCTCTTATTTTAACTAAAAACAAGGTCACTATTAACCTATAAAAATGTGTTTACCTGTTTCTTTTTTTTTTTTTTACCTGCTTCTTAATGGATGATTATTTCATTTAAAATGATGGTATTACGGACATGTCAGATTTGGTGACGACATTCAGTTGAAAGTCGTATCTTAAATGCCCTCTGTAACATAATTATGTTCTCCTGAATGAAAGCTAAGGAACCTATGAGGTCCTGTAGGGACAGTCTGCTGTGTAATGGTCTCTTGTACACTGCACAAAGCAAATTGTTTTTGATACTCATAGTAACAAGCAACAAGAAGTTACTGTCACCTTGAAGCAGGAATGTGTGTAATGATAGAGCTACAAACATCCTTAAATAAAGTTAAAGCCTGAACCCTAGTGCAATTGTGAGGAAGAATTCAAGATGTGGATTGGGACTGGAGAATGCTTTGGGGCTGAAAGTTTAATATTCTCTACCTCTGTTAGCTCCCCTGACTTGGAGGAGTCTGATTTGATTGAGGGTCTGAGTTTCTCTTCTGCCACAAAGAGACTATTATCAGTGTGATAAGAAATTCCACAACCTCCTCGTTAGGTCTAAATTCAGTGTTTAACAACTTTAATTAGGAGAACTGAAGTTTTCCTTATACGGTATCTACCTGGATCTCAGTCTCCAGGGTGAACCCATTTCCTCTTACCCTGGCTTCCAAGGCTTTAGGCAGTCTTTAGCACAAATAATTCTCTATAAATGTAGAATTTTCTTATATTTCTAGATCAAATAAACTTCAATTCTTTTGGACACTTTCACAGATCTTTGGTGATACTTTCAAACATTAATATTCTCCATCTGCCTTTAATACTTTTGGAAATCACGATGGATATAAGTAGCTATCAAAGTAATAACTCGTAAGGTGGGGCATTTACCTCAGTGGTGCCACCGCCTGCCTCGAAAGCACAAGGACCTGAGTTCGATCCCCAAGTACCAAAAAAAAAAAAAAAAAAAGTAGTAACACTTAAACATCTATTCTAAATTCATTATTAAACTTCAAGAGGCTCCAAATTAAATCTATGGTCTTGTTAGTCTAGATGTATTATGAGAGATATGTGCCTATAATTCCAAGATAACCTAGCATTACCCTAATGCTATAAGTAACAAGGAAATTTTATGACTTCATCTAAATTCAAATAAAGTTAATTTCAACACTTGTTAAAAATACCACAGCTTAGGGCCAGGGATTTAGCTCAGCGGTTCATTGGCCTGCTTTGCAAGCACAAGGACGAGAGTTCAATCCCCAAAAAACAAAACAAAACAAAACAAAAAAAAATCCACAGCTTAGCAGTACTTTTTTACTTATTAAACACAAAAATTATCAAATGCAATTTGGAATGAAAAATAATACAGGATCAAACTTTCACCAAATTCTTTTTTGGTACTGGGATCGAACTCAGCACCCTGCACTTGCAAGGCAGGTGTCTTGCCACCTCCCACCCCTTTACCACATTCTTATGAAATAAATGAGTTTACTTACCAGATAGCCTAGTAAAAGGACAAAGGTGAAAAATGTCTTCTCTTGTTCTTGTAGTACTTTGAAAGCCATTTCTCTTATCAAATGTATCCCTGTAGGGTTCTAAATCAGAGAAAAGAAGGAAGACATAGTTAAACCTAAAAGCTTTAGTAATTTTGCTCTGTATTTCCTATCTAATGTCTGCCACTTTTCCAGACACATTAGGAACTAAATATTATTCATGTTTAAAGGAATCACTATTTAAGAAGATACAACAAGCATATAATACATAACTCTTTCAGACTTTAGGTAATGAGAATTGATGCTTAGTTTACCTATACATTACAAACAAAACTCCTACTAGCTCAGAATTCTCAGGTTATACCTGCCTTTATTTTCTACCCAAGTCTTCAGTATCCAATCCAGTTCATCCGTAAGAAAATCACATTCAAGCAGTGACTTATAAACCTTTCATTAAGCAGTGCCAACAGGATAATAGCAGTGATTTAAAAAAACAACATTTGCTAAGCACCCTGAATCAAGTACTATTTTTAGCATGCTAAGCCTCACAAATACTCTAAAATGTCAATACTATCATTCTCTCCATTTTAGAGAGGGGGAAACTGAGGCTGTGAGAGGCTGAATAACCTACCAAGGTCACCCAGCTGGTAAGAAGCAGAGCTATATTCAAACCCAGGCAGGATGGCTCCAGTATGGCTGTTCCTATATTTACTGTGTCATATATACTCCACCACCCTTGTGCTCTGCTGCATACAAACACCATGCTTGGGGCCAGGCATAGTGATGCACACTTATAATCCCAGCACTCCGGGAGGCTGAAGCAGGAGGATCCCAAGTTCCAGCCTCACCTGGGCAATTTAGCAAGACCTTGTCTCAAAATGAAAAAAATAAAAAATAAAGATAGGCTGGGGAAGAAGTTCAGTGTGAAGGTCCTGGGTTCAATCCTCAGTACCAAAACAAACAAACAGTACTATGCTTGTATTTTGGGACCTTCATCTCCGCCAAGAAGCAGATGGCTAAAATTTGGCCTGTGTGAATTCTATTCCAAAGAAGCGCAATGCAAATTACGCACTGCTAGAAAAGTAAGTGTTCAATAAAAGAATCTAAGAATTACAAGGGACGCAGACGGAGGCACTGACCCAACATCATAATTAAAGATAAACTCAGTGTTACGGTTGTCACCAAGAATGGTCTAAAAGGTAAATACAAATCTGACTGTTTTTTATAGAAGCACACAAGGTCAAGCAAGGAGATTTTAAAAAATGGCTCCATCTATCATGAACAACAGTTTGGTTTCTTTTAAAGTAGAATCTTCCCAAATTAATGGAGACTCTGAACATCTAGATTAGCTGACTACTTAGAAAGAAATCAAAGCAGAGAACAAGAACAGTGGGCCAAGGGGCCCAAGAAAAACAATAACAGCAGGCAAAGGAGCTGAGCTGGGCAGGCTGCTCCAACAGCCGGTCAGGGGAGCAGGAGCCAAGGCAAAATCCAAGGTGACTGTCACACGCAGATGGCCCTGGAAGCGCCTGACCACAGGGGTCACTTTGGCTGCCTCTGCAGGTCCCACAGCAGGACAGCAGGAACTTGCCTGTGGAATGAATGGCCCATTTTGAGTAAATTCAGACTCTCAGCTTCTTAGTCAGTTTTCCCTCCCAGCATATCCCAAAGTCATCCAGCAACTGTCCAGCTTACTGTGAGTTGGGGGTGAGTGGAAAGACAAAGCACATTCCCAGAAATACATGCTTCCGGTTATCTTTCTAGACATGGTCCTAAATTTTGACAAATGTGTTCATTTCTAAAAAGTTAAAAATGCACAATTTGTGTTTAATGGAGAAAAGAATATACAGGTTAAGTATCATTTATTGGAAATGCCTAGAATTGGATTTGAAATTTTCTTGGATTTTGAAGTATCTCTATCTATAAAATGAACTATATTGAGAATGGGACCCAAGTCTAAACACAAAATTCACTAATGTTCCACACATGCCTTACTGCCTGAAGGTAATTTATACAGTATTTTAAAATAATTTTGTACATGAAAGCAAGTCTCATGCTGTGGAATTTTCCACTTGTACCATCAGATTGGCACTCAAAAAAGTTCACATTTTTGGATATTGGATTAGAGATTTTTCAACCAGTGAAACCAACCCATTTACCTGAAGGTAAGAGAAAAAGAGACTGGGAGAGTCAGTACAAACTCCAAAGGTGCAACAAGTTTGGACAGAACACTCTCCAGAGACCACACGAACGTCTGAGGAAGACAAACAGGAAGCATCTCTTAGCACTGTCACCTTCAGACTATATTTTTCTAAACAGATGAAAATAGAACCTATCTCATAGTGACAATTAATTAGCTCAGTGCCTAAATAAGAATAAATCTTCAGGGCCAGGGATTTAGCTCAGGATTTAGCCACACCTGCCTCACAAGCGCAGGGTCCTGAGTTCGATCTCCGGTACTGGAAAGAAAAAAAAAATCTTCTTTAGGAATGGCTGCTGATGCTTGTGCTGCTGTTTTTCACTGAGAATATCACTGACCCATGTGTGTGCCCAGGCAGGCTACTCAGCCTGGAGTCCCAGTCTCCTTATGGCTGCATCAGGTGGAGTGACAGCACTCAGATCTCAGCTCTATAAGTGTTAATGATGCTAGTCCTTCCTGTTACAATATTACTATTGAGAATCGAATGATCCAATTGTGTGAGCATCTTTGAAGACTGTACTTGACAGATAAATGTGAAACATTTAGACAGCCATGATCAAGAGGCAGAACTGATAATCAGTACCCATCAAAGTTATAAAGTTTACAATTCCTCTACTTATTCAAACTATAGCAATCATTTATCAAGTGCCCGAGTGGAGGAGCGCAAGACTGGGGAGGATACTGCCAAGATGGCTCTGAGGAGCCCACAGTGTGGGAGGGGTGCTGGTCTCCCAAACACCTTTCAATATAGCCTGGGCAAGGAGCATTTCAGAAATAAACAATTTAGCTGCTGGAATGTACGGGTATGACCTTGAATTTCCTGGAATAAAATGAAATTCCTTATGAATTTTTTTGGCGTTCATAAAAAGAAGAAAAATTAATGAAATAACTTGTATTTAAGTAATAATATTTAAAATGAAAATAAGGCAATAAAAAGGTTATTTGTTGAAATGCTTTTAAATTCTGGGCATTTTGGGGTCTGGTTCAAAGACAAAAATGCTTTTATATATCTCATATAATATATGTCTCAAATATAATGCTTTATATTTGGGAATGACTTATTAAGCTTGAAATATAAAAGTTAGTGTGTACAATGGGTCAATCCACTGGGGTTTATATAGTTTGCCAAAATACCTAGATTAGACAACATCTAGCAATCCAGCATCCAGTTTTGCAGGAGACATACTGAGAAACTGGCTCCAGCTAAGTACTAAAGAGAAAGCTAGTACTGCCTGGCTTACTGCATTCTAGAAGCGTGAAACTGCTGCCTATATGCCACTCAGCATTGATAAGCAGGCTGGTGAGATCAGAATTGGGAAAGCACAAAAAAAGGGACAAGAACCAAGAGCACAGAGCTGGCAAACACCCTGTTGAGGTGCCCAGAAAGTGGCTTCTTAACAGATAAAGCAGCACAGCCTGCTCACTGGGGCGAATGGTAACCCATGTGGTTATGTCCTAATTGGGTCTTCTTGATATAAGGGACAGAATCCAACAGGTTCTGTCCGTGCACATCTCTTGCACTCCCTTGTTCCATATCATGAATCCTGTGCAGGCGTGTCTGTGGGCAAAGGGTTGGGGTCTCAGAGGTGTAGCTTAAGGAGTCCTGCTGAGGAAGAGCAGCTCAGTCTCTCTCCCAGTTCATCAGAGCATCAGACTGCCAGCTCTGTCTGCAATGCCTGGCCCCACCCTGACAGACAGTCAAAGGTCTTCTGGCTTTCCCTGAACCTATGAGGGTGCCTCTTCCTAGCACCCTGGACTTTATATGTCATAGCATTATTGTCTGACTACTCTTCTCTTTTTCTGGCCCTTTTGTTGCATTTAGCCAGCATTCATTTCCTTTCTCCATGGCAGCAATGAACTTTCAAAATTAATTTTCAGTATTTAAAATGAAGCACTTCCTGGAAATAGTAGACAATCTGGTAACTACAGGATGCACTTGAAGGCCAGATGAGTCAGGGGTGAACAACGGTTGTCTCTTATGCAGAACACACTTTCAGGTGTGACGGCCTCCTTCAGTCCTGACTGTCCTGCTGGGCTCCCTTCATCATTTTACTGCTCACCCATCCCGCTGAGTTTTGAGAGTGTCACAACGAGGACCCTGACTTCACTCCAGAAGTATAATTCACCCAGGATATGCCTGGTGCATGTTAAATGAATGAAGAAGTTCATTAATTAGCGATAATATTTTACCTCTTAGATTTGTAAGGCATGAAACAATAGATGTGAAAAATATGCATGAATATTAACTAAAACTGAAATATAAGTTACAGTGGGGACCCCCCCCCATTCTTAGAGTGCTCTAATGCAGGTAAAGTACCTTTTATCCAAAAACCATGGGACCAGAAATGGTTTGGATTTTGGGCTTTTTCAGATTTTGGAATTTGTACATATACATAAGGTGACATCTTGGGGATGAGACCCAGGTCTACACAGGAAATCCATTCATATTTCACTTGTACTTGTCCACAGAGCCTGAAGGTAAATCTACTCAACATTTTAAATAAATTTGTGCATGAAATGGAATTTTCCACTTGTGATGTCATTCAGCACTCTTTGGAGTGTTTCAGAGTTTGGATTTTTAGATCAGGGATGCTCAACCACTTTGTAAGATCTGATATTTATCCTTCTAATTTAAGTAGTAAATAGTCTTTCTGAGGATTATTTTGATTTTGATTTTGTGAAGGAGCAGCACATATGAACCTGCGAATAATTTGAATTACCTGAATATTTTCTTCAGAATAAGCTATTTAGTTTTCTTTACATTTCCATATCTTGGAAGCTGTTTATTATCCCATGGATAACAGTTTTCATTTAGTAAAACCATGTTAACATTATCTAATGAAGCTACCTACATTCAACTCATACATTTTTCCAATCTTCAACAAGCCAAACTGTTTAAGAA